CTCTCTCGTTCTCTCCCTTTCTCTCTCTCTCTCTTTCTTTCTCATTCTCTCTCAAACCCTCTCTCATTCTCTCCCTTTCTCTCTCTCTCTCTCTCTCTCTCTCATTCTCTCCCTTTCTCTCTCTCTCTCATTCTCTCTCTCGTTCTCTCCCTTTCTCTCTCTCTCTCTTTCTTTCTCATTCTCTCTCAAACTCTCTCTCATTCTCTCCCTTTCTCTCTCTCTCACTCTCTCTCTCTCATTCTCTCCCTTTCTCTCTCTCTCTCATTCTCTCTCTCGTTCTCTCCCTTTCTCTCTCTCTCTCTCCTTCCTTTCATCTCATCCTTGCTGTCAGAAAATCATTGGATGATACAGAATGGTGGACCACAGAGAATCAATGTCAAGATGTAGTAGCTGGAAGAAGGGGAAGACTGTCCAAATTCCCCCCCCCCCAAATTCATTTCCACACCGGGCTTTGGAGAACATCCAAGTTGTTCCATGAAGTCATAAAGTCTACCAGAATTGGGAGGTCTTCTAGTCCAGGAGTTGCCAACCTTTTGGACCTCAGGGACCACTAAATCCACAATTTTAAATCCCACGGACCACTTATAAGATCTGCCTAATGTCCGGCTGGCTGGGCGTGGCAAGGTGGTCATGTGACTGGGTGGGCGTGGCCAACTATAGACCACCAAAATTTTCTCATGGACCACCAGTGGTCCACAGATGACCAGTTGGTGACCACTCTCCTAGTCTAACCCCCTGCCCATAACAGGACACCTTATATTATTATTCTGGAGAAATGCTTGTCCAGTTTCCTCTTGAAAACCTCCAGTAATGGAGCATCCACAACTTCTGTTGGCCAGCTGTTCCACAGATTCATTGTCTTCCCTGTCAAGGAAATTTCTCCTTATTTCTAGGTTGGTTTCCTCCTTGGTTGGTTTCCATCCATTGCTTCTCCTCTGACAGAAGTTGATTGGCCTACCTTACACGACAAGAACTTCCTCCTTGTAGTAAACCGTGGCATTTGGGGTGTTTAGGAAGAGCAGGAGAACTTCCCCGCTGACTTTTAGCAGGGCGAAATCGCTGCTTTGGGGGGGGGGGTCCGCCAAAGCGCCGATCTGCCCTTCATGAACACCAAATCCATTTTTGTCCCCCTTTTTTTCTCAACCCGGATCGCTTCTCTGAAGGTGACATGTGGTTTCATACACCGAATGGCAGACGGGGGAAAAATGACAGCATCCAGCTTTGTTGGCAAGTACTTATAGAACATAGCGCTTAAGATGAAACCCGTTAAAGCAAAGATGATACGACGCAGCAGAAATTTTCCTGGAAGTGCCGCTGCATTTTTTCTCCCCCCTTGCTCTTTGCCGAGGAATTTCTTCATCAAGAACATTCACCACCGACTCTCAGAATGAATGAGGCAATTAAAGAGATGTCAGGGCTCTAAAATTCCAGAAACTGTATTAATTTGAAAGCTTTCCTTGAACGGGGTGGAGGAGGGACGGTTTCCCCCTGCCTTCTCTAAGGATAAAGGAGAGGAAAGACCAGATCAGACGATGGGATCATCCCGGCAGATCTAAAGGTCGATGGAGATGGAGATTCCCAGTCAACCAGATCAAGGCTGTCCCAAAGGGGATTTTTCAAATAGCAACTGGACTTTTAAACACATCAGAGGGAGAGAACAAAAAGGGGGAATCTGACGAAGAATATCTTAAAGTCAAGAACAGTGGGTTGGTGGGTGAATGAAGATGAAAAAAAAAAAAGAATAAAGAGGAATCAAGATGGGGAAGGGGAGAGAGAAACAGAGAGATAGAGAGAGGAAAGAAAGAGGAGCGTGAGAGTCCAAGAGATAAGAGAGAGAGAGGAGAGGGAGGGAGGGAGAAAGAGAGAGAGTCAGAGAGAAGAAAGAGAGGGAGACAGAGAAGAAAGAGAGGGAGACAGAGAAGAAAGAGAGGGAGAGAGATAGAAGAGGGAGGGAGGAAGAAAGAAAGAGTGTGAGAGAGAGTCATAGAGAAAGAGAGGGAGAAAGAGGGAGAGAGAGAGGAAGGGAGGGAGAAAGATAGGAAGAAAGAANTATCAGGAGAGGGCTTATTTTCAGGGAAACAGTGTATATTATTACCATTTTATATACTACTTTCTTTTATGATGGTTGATAACATTAAAAGGTAAAGGTTCCCCTCGCACATACGTATGTGCTAGTCATTCCTGACTCTAGGGAGCAGTGCTCATCTCCCTTTCAAAGCCGAAGAGCCAACGCTGTCCGAAGACGTCTCCGTAGTCATGTGACAAGCATGACTAAACGCCAAAGACGCACGGAACACTGTTCCCTTCCCACCAAAGGGGGTTCCTATTTTTCTACTTGCATTTTTACGTGCTTTCGAACTGCTACGTTGGCAGAAGCTGGGACAAGTAATGGGAGCTCACTCTATTACATTTTGATAATTTAATAATTTAATTTAATAGAATCTGATAACATTATCAAATTCTATTAAGTTTCCCTGAATACCTTTTGACAGAGACAGGAGAGACAACATAGAAATCCTTTGGGATCCACATTAAAGCCCATTAAGAGAGAACTCACTGAAATCAACAAGAATTGAGTTCATCGGATTACATAATGACATTCACAACTAGTGCCTTAAGGCTGGATTAATCTGAAAATGTTTTCTGTATCTCATCCCCATCCCCCAAACCAAGACAGTGGTACCTCGGTACTCATCATTGGCCACAGGAGGCACGGTGAGTACCAGAAACAAGGAGTACCAAACACACTTTTCCCCATAAGGAATAATGTAGTGAGTCACAAGGCATCGGATACCGACAAGTTCTAGCTTGTGCGTCAATTAGCAAACAAATGATGAGTACCGGGACAACATTTTTGCCTCCAAATCAGAGGTGGGATTCACTTACCTTCCCTACCGGTTTGCAAATGTGAGCGCACTCGCTCTCTGTCTCGCTTCCGTTGCACACACCTCATCTGCGCATGTGCACCGCTTTCTGCACATGCGCAGGGCCCACACCTTACATTGGGGCAGATGGACAGAGCCTCCCGCAGCCACCGCTACCGAGTCTCCCGAACTGGAGAGAACGGCTGAATGCCACCTCTGATCCGAATGCACTAAGGACCAATTTCGATGAGTTTCAATGAAGTTGGGTACCAAGGTACCCCTGTACATCGATTCGAAGGGAGATACCTTGGTTGTGCACACGCCGTTCACATGCGTATCGATACGGAGGTTATCCATCATTTTGCTGCTGAAGCTGGTGATGTTGAACAAGTTTGGGGAAACCTGGACCACGGCCATTTGTTGGTGGAAGTGCGAAGCCATAGCCTGTTCTCTCAGGATGGCTACCGAGTTGTTTAGGTTCACAGCCAACAGATTCTTTTTGGAACTCCACTTCAAACATGAGGAAGAAAAAGACATTAGGATATTGACTGTCCAGCTTAGAGAGAAAATGCATTGTGTACAGAGGCACGGACTCTTTGAAAGAAACCGTGAAAAGAGGACAGACATTGATAGCTTCTTAGCTATCCATCATCAGATTCAGATTCAGATTTAGTTTATTTGTATGNAGGAGGAGGAGGAGGAGGAATTGTAGTGAGGTCTCAGAAGTTCTTATAGGCATCTCTTTGCTCTTAAGTCTAATGTTGCATTCGGTATAATTTAAGGTTATAAGTGAACCAGGCAGCAGCTCAAAAGACCAACTCATTTTCTTACCTAAGAAGAGGTTCGTTTGTTGCAGTGATCAGGAGGCTATGATCAATCAGAATGATATCAGCGGGATGATTCATTTTTCCACTCAACTTCACCTAGTGACAAAAAGCATTCAGCACACCAAGTTATTGAGTTTAATCCTTTTTCAAAAATCATGGTCCAAGTAAGACATGTGCATTGAAATAAAAGTGACTGACGGTGTCTGCTCATAAATTATTTTAATTCTTTAATTTCAGGCACGTATAATAAAGTGGAGCTCCAGTGTCCTCGAGGCAGCTTGTAAACACTGGCCCAAAACCGCAATGATTAACTTTTTTGTAAGTAATGTGTCACCGAGCCTGCTATCCTTACCTTCAGAAGTTCTTCTGCTTCTCCTTCGGGAGAAATTTTGTGAAGGGATAAGAGGAGACTCTCCGTTATCACTACTAAGACGTCTCTTTCCATGAACAGCATTTTTTGGATTGAGGTTTCTATAATCAACGCTTGATTGGTCTTTCCTCGTTCACTCACGTAATGCACAGTTCCTGCAACGCAAAGAATTGGGTAGTTAACTCGGCCATCTAATGAAGCTCAGGTCATGCCAAATTCGGGATTAATGGGGAAAGAATTATCTCAGCGCAAAAGCAATCAATGCATTTTCAAAATGATGGAAATATATATTTTTTAATGAATGTTTTTATTTTATTTTTTAAGTTTCATCTTTTCTTAAACAGTGTGTCGTCTGGGTACAAATATCCCTGTGCAAACAGAAATCACAGTATTCATTACATTAATATTAATTCTCCAATCTCACAATAATAATAAGCATAATAAAACTATTCATTTCTCCCTCTTAACATAGTTCTAATAAGAATATAATAGTAATATTAAACACAATAGTCTTTAACAGTCATATAGGCTAAAAGAAATCCATAGATGGATGGAAACTGGCATTATTCACTGTCAATATTAAGAGTGTGAACAAATAAGAAATTACAGGAAACAGATCCAAAGATCTCTCTCTCTCTCTCTCTCTCTTTCTCTCCCTTTCTCTCTCTCTCTTTCTGTCTGTCTCTTTTCTGTCTTTCTCTGTCTTTCTTTCTCCCTCTGTCTCTCTCCCTCTCTCTCTCTCTCTCTCTCCCTCCCTCCCTCTCTCTCCCCACTTGTGTCAAGATTCAAGGAAAATGATCTCCCTTAATGGCCTGTGTACATCTCAAAAGGTAGGAGCAACTTGCCAAATTTGTAACTATGCATTTATCGTTTACCCATGGAGGGAGCTGTGGCCTTCCAAATTACCCACCATATGAATTTCACGGGGAGTAAAGATTTGTTTGCAGCATAGTCATCCAGATGTTCAGACTGGAGTTGTCATTTTAATTCCCTTTCGAGTTCTTCCCAAGGATCTGGGAGAGGTAGCTATGGATGTTTGATGGGGTTACAGGTAATGTTGCAGGATGTAAGCTGTTCCAAGTACAGCTGCCTTTTGCAATTGACAACTGATGAATTTGTCAATGCCAATGGTGTTAAACAGTGCCCCAGTTGTTTTTGGGATTTATCATAAAGATTATAAATGATATGGAATATATTACTACAGATGAATACTTATACTTTGGCCACCTAATTAGATATTGTGTGTGTGTGTGTGTGTGTGTGTAAGCACGTGCACTTTTTAATATATATATAGTGTGTGTGTGCATGTGTGTGTGTGTGTTTGTACACCTGATGAGAAGGAAGGACTCCCTGGAGAAGAGCCTCTTGCTGGGAACGATGGAGGGCAAAAGAAGAAGGGGACGGCAGAGAATGAGGTGGCTGGATGGAGTCATCGAAGCAGCCGGCGTGAGCTTAGATGGACTCCAGAGGATGGTAGAGGACAGGAAGGCCTGAAGGAATGTTGTCTATGGCGTCGCGATGGGTTGGACACAACTTTGCAACTAACAACAACAACAACAAATGAATTATTATATAAGTGGACATTGAAGATCTTTGTGGAGCTTGTAGGAACCAGAACAATTAGCTCTTCCTAAGTAATCCATCACACACCTTTAAATATTTGTATAAATTATATAGCATAAATATAAAGAATAAAAATCAGGCAACACATTTTTGTTTTTAAAATCTGCTTTGTTCTCACCATCGATCATGCTTACGAAGAAGGACAGGCCTTCTTGGGGTCCCATTTTCAGAGCCATCCCCATCCCAGATTTTCTCCAGTTGAACATATCCAGGGCCTTCTCATCACCGCTCACGGCCGCTTTGGCCAGCTGAACCAAATCCCTGCAGGTAAGAGCAAGACATTTGAGTTTTGGCACCCTTTGGATCTACAAGATGAGAACTTCCTGTTAGAGGCAGACCTCAACTTACAATCACCCTTTGAGCACTGCACACCAGAGCAACTAGACCAGTGTTTCTTAACCTTGGTGACTTTAAGTCCTGTGGACTTCAGCTATGCTGGCTGGGGGATTCTGGGAGTTGAAGTCCACAGGACTTAAAGTCGCCAAGGTTGAGAAACACTAAACTAGACACAACAAGAACAGTTTTTTTCCCCAAACGCCATCACTCTGCTAAACAAATAATTCCCTCAACACTGTCAAAACTATTTACTAAGTCTGTATTACTATTACTATTAGTCTCCTCATCGTACCTATCACCCATCTCCTCCCACTTATGTCTGTATGACTGTAACTTTGTTGTTTGTATCCTTACGATTTATATTGATTGTTTCCTAGTATGATTTGATTGCTTCATTGTACCCTCTGATTATCATTCAGTGCTGTACCTTATGATTCTTGATGAATGTATCTTTTCTTTTATGTACACCAAAAATTCCTTGTGTGTCCAATCACACTTAGCCAATAAAGAATTGCATTGTATTGTATCATATCGTATCGCATTCTATTCTATTCTATTCTATTCTATTCTATTCTCCGTTCAAAGCTACAACAGCTCTGGAAAAAAAAAGTGATTTTTGCCTGGTCCTGGCACTTAATGACTGTCACAGCATTCCTAAGGTCAAATGGTCGAAATTCGGGTGCTTGCCAACTGGCTTGTATTTATGACGGTTGCAGGGTCCCCGGGTCATGTGATCATCATTTGCAACCTTCCCGGCTGGCTGCTAACAAAGTCATCGTGGGAAGCTGGACTCGCTTAAGCACATGATTCAGCAACAGCAGTGATTTGCTGAACAACCACAGCAAAAATAGTCATAAAATTGGAGGCGACTTATTTAATAACCACCATCCCTAGCAATGGAAATTCTGGTCACAGCTGTGGCCGTAAGTCAAGGACTTCTTGGATATGAAAGAAAAACCACTTCGTAACAGCAAGAGGTTTCTCACCCTATCCCAAAGAACCGTATTTCCTGAAAATAAAACCAGGTATTATATTATTTTTGCTCCAAAATATGTGTTAGGGCTTATTCTCTGGTTAGGTCTTATTTTGGGGGAAATACAGTAACAATTGCATCCGTCTGGCTGATGATCTTAACTGGGACTTATTTTTGGAGTAGGGGTTACATTACGAGCATCCTGAAAAATCACGCTAGGGTTCATTTTCTGGTTGGGTTTATTTTCGGGACAACAGAGTAGGTCTTAGACGTTTTGCAATATTATAGGGTGTTTTTTTCCTGATAGGCATTAAGGCACAACACACAAGGAAACAGTAGGCCTCCACTGGATTTTAAACACATGCTGTGCTGCAAGTAACAACCTAATTTTTTAGACGGTTTAGGAAGGCAGACAGAAATAGGATGAAAAATAAATAAATAAAAGGTTTCAACCTGAGCAGGAGGCTATAAAAATAGATGACGCTAAAGAATGATGAAAAGAAAACATGAAACAGAGGGAAGAAAGCCGCGTATCAGGCCTGCAGTCACACTCTCTGTTATTTTACTACGCTGTTTCATTAGTGGGGTAATTGGGAGGGGGAATAGTAAGGAGTAGAATGTGTTTATCAAAATAAAACATTCCTTTCTAGAAGTCCAAGGTCATCTTTTGTCTCTGCACCTCTGAACCTGATTGGAAGTGGATGGGTGAGATGCCAGCGTGGCAGTGGAAGATTGGACCATGGGATGGACTTGTGNTGTCAGGAAATTTCTCCTTATTTCCAAGTTGCTTCTCTCCTTGATTAATTTCCACCCATTGCTTCTTGTTCTACTCTCAGATGCTTTGGAGAATAGACTCCCTCTTCTTTGTGCAGCCCCCAAGATATTGGAACACTGCTCTCATGTCTCCCCTAGTCCTTCTTTTCATTAAACTAGACATATCCAGTTCCTGCAATCATTCTTCATTATATTTTAGCCTCCAGTCTCCTAATCATTTTGGTTGCTCTTCTCTGCATTCTTTCTAGAGTCTCAACATCTTTTTTACATAGTGGCAACCAAAACTGGATGCCGTATTCCAAGTGTGGCCTTACCAAGGCATTATAAAGTGATTTAACACTTCACGGGATCTTGATTCTATCCCTCTGTTTATGCAGCGTAGAACTGTGTTGGTTTTTTTGGCAGCTGGCTCATATTTAAATGGTTGTCCACTAGGACCCCAAGATCCCTCTCACAGTTACTACTATTGAGGAAGATACCACCTATACTGTACCTGTGCATTTTGCTTTTCTTGCCTAAATGCAGAACCTTACTCTTTTCACCATTGGATTTCATTTTGTTAGATAGTGCCCAATGTTCAGTCTGTCAAGATCCTTCTGTATCTTAAGCCTGTCTTCTGGAGTGTTGACTATTGTCACCACCTTGGTGTCATTTGCAAATTTGATGAGTTCCCCATTTATCCCCTCATCATTGAAAGAAACCATTAAAATAAAGAATGTAATACCAAAAATAAGGGATGGATTTTTCGAAACTTTATTTTGCAGTCCCATCTGCAAAGCCCCCTAGAAAATTTCTTTTATTTTTCAGACGGTAGATAATGTTGGGTAGAAATGAAACTTCAATAGGAGCCCCTTCAAGACGGAGGGTCCCAACCACATCAATGTTTCTCAACCTTGGCAACTTTTAAGATGGGTGGACTTCAACTCCCAGAATTCCTCAGCCAGCAGGACCTTAAAGTCAACAAGACTGAGAAATACAGGCAGTCCTCGACTTACGACCACCAGTGAGCCCACATTTCTGTTGCGAGGCAAGAGTTGTTAAGCGAGTCGCATCTCATTTTAAGAACTTTCTTGCCACAGTTAGGCGAGTCGCTGCAGTTTTGTCAGTTGGTAAGATGGCTGTTGCTTGTCATAAGGTCGCAAAAGGTAGTAGTAGTAGTAGTAGTAGTAGTAGTAGTAGTAGCAACAGCAGCAGCAGCAGCAG